GCATTTTTAAAAAATGGGACTAACTACTTCATATGAAGTTGTACTTCAACCATTACATTATTTCTTTCCAAATTAAACATCCAAATGAAACAGAACTAACAAAGTCTACCAAATTTAACCAGGTTTTAGTAGAAAAATTCAATAAACCCAGAAATTCATAAAAGAAAAGATTTTAAAATTTCAAACAAAAATAAACATGATCAAATGGAAAGAAAAGTGAAACAAATCAATGTCAGTCGTGAAGTATGAGTGTGCAACAGAAATCTACACCCAGGTTTTTCTACATACCTAGTCCTTAGACAAGCTACAAAGATTGGTCAGAAGCAACAAAACATGATTTCCAAGTAGTTGGCCAAACCCCTCAAAAAAAACAACCTATTAAAAAAATGGGAAAGAATTATGTTTGGATAGTGTGCTTTCTTACGGTAAGGGTTTTCATATTTTATCAACTACTTAGAAGAGAAGCCCAAAGTCTTATATGCCTCCCTCAATTATCCTCTGTCTAGAACCTATGGAAAGATTCTTGGCAGAAATACCAGACCTTGTCACCTCTCCTGTAGAAGACGGAATGTTTGCCAGGCATGATGGCACATGCCTGTACTCCCAGCTACTTGGGAGGCTAAGGCAGAAGTATCAAAAGTTCAAGGCCAGCTTGGGCAAATTAATTAGACTCTGTCTGGAAAAAAAGAAAGAAATGGAATGGAATGCTTCCAGAAGTCACTGCAGGGACTTCTTTGACTTTCATGATATTCTCTAGTCTTCCTCTCAAATGCAGTTTTCTATCAGAGGGTCTAAAACTATTACATTCCTCAAAATTATTTCTTTTATTGATACGTACATTATCAATAAGAGGACACTAAAAAGGGTACTGCACCATTCTAGATCTCAAACCAGAACTACTCTATGATTTCAAAACATGGTCCATAATTTAAATTCCATTTCTAAAAATCCCATCAAAGATTACTCTTGCAAGGTTTCCATAGTATTTATCCTAAAGGGTTCTCTCTCTATATATTTTTACTTATCAGTTTCCAAAAATTAGAAATGAAAATAAGAAAGTACCAATGAGAAAATCTTCAGACTGAATAAATGTAAATGCTACTGTTCATGGTAAAGGATTTTACACCCAGGTGTATATGTGTGATCCACCAATCCTGCTTGGATGCTGCATACGAAAGGTACTTCCAAGGCCAGGCACATTGTCACATGCCTACAATCCTGACTTGAGAGGCTGCAGCAAGATGACCACAAAATCAAGGCTAGCTTTGGTAATCCATGAGACTCTATCTCAAAAGAAAAAGGGATAGGAGTCTAGTTTAATATCAGAGTACCCCTGGGTCCAATCCCCAGTACAGGGGCTGAGGGGATTAGTACTTCTGAATTCAAGGAAATACTAATCCTTAACCATATGAGTCCAACCAGATGATAGTTTCTTTAGAAGCCAGGCACAAGGATGCACGCCTCTAGTCCCAGCTACTCAGTAGGTGGGAGGATTGCTTGAGTCCAATTTAGACCAGACTAGACAACATAGCAAGACACTGTCTCAAAACAAAACACAATAAAAAACTGGGGACTGAGGGAGTAATTCAGTAGTACAGCACTGGACTAGCATGCATGAGCCCAGCAATACTTTCAAAAACCACACACACACACACACTCCATAAGAAACCTGCTAAATTGGTTTTAGTTCTTAATTGGTTATTCTGGTTGCAGCTTACTTTCATTCTCGTGTTGTCACAGAAGCAGCCATTTTTATCCTTATCAACATCCTGGTTTTCTAACAATACAGGATTCCAAAAAACTGTAAATTAGTTCTATTTTCTTTAACTTCTCTATTCCTAGTTTGATAGTTCATGATCATGTTCTAAAAGTAATCTTGACTATAAAAAAATTAAATATACAACAATAGTGTCAAATTTCCAGAAGAATCTAATGCTAGACCAGTAGATAATAATTTCATGATTAAAAAAAATAGTTGGCCCAACTTGCAAATAACAAAGAATGATTTAGTTTGGAGAAATACTTTTCAAAGTTTAATCAGAGCTACTCTAAGCTAGAAAACCTTAAATTACAATAGCTATCACTACTAAGATTTTGTGAAGGTGAAGAGAAACAGGTAGCCTGAAAGAGGACCCTTCATTAAAAGCAAGCTCACAGAGGGAAAAAGCAGGGACAGGAAAGGGAAATTTACTGCAGTACTGGTGACCTCAACCCCTTTATGAAAGCACATGTTCTCATTTGGTGTAATAATATTCTGATTCACATTGAATATTCAAAAACCATATGAAAGGCCAACTAAAAATGTTTAAATGAAAGAAAAATATGAGATTGAGTTAAATGATAAAATGAATAAAAAAAAACAAATAAAACATTAGATGACCTTCATAAAAAATACTAAAATTAAAAAAATTCATCATACACATTGTGCTCACAAAGGGAAAGGAGGATCCATCAAGCCCTGCAGAACACAAGAAGCAGATGGTTTACTCAGGCATCAGCAGAAATAGGACCCGGAGAACTACCCTCAGATTCTTCTACATGGTGTCCAGGAAGGAAAAGCAAAGCTGCAATATGCTGAAGGTTTTAGAAGTATAACGGTGCTTAGGAAAGATCACTGGTCTGGTGTTGCAGCAGCCCCAGTGTTGACAGACACTCTAGGCTTCTAGGAGGAGAAAAATAGAAAGGGAGGAAGAAGTAGGAGGGGGAAGGAAAAGGATGGAAAAGCACAGATCATTAGTAAACAGCAAGTTCAACATAGCAAGATGCTCATAATCTCTTTATATTATTAGTAGAGCTGGTGTGCTCTCAGAACTACAAATTAATATTCTGAAGGAAATCAAATAGGAATTTTCAAAATGGCACTGAGCTAGATGCTCTAATTAGTGAATGGCAAAATTAGTATCAAGTCACAACATGCCCCCAAAGCATGCACTATTCACCCCTCCTTATTTATCCCTCCCCAGTCAAACATGCATATTTTCAGTAAAATACCTGCTTTAATACAGTCACAAAATAAAATTCAGAACCCAAACAACCCAAATCTACCTAAGGGTGGAGAGATCTTCAAGAGCTGAAAGAACTGCTCTCACAATGCCACTGGGCAGTTCATTTAACAGATTACTTTGTTTTTGTAGTCAGAGAACTAAAAGTTGAAATGGTAAGGGTCAAGCTGCTAGGTTTTTTACCTCCCTACACTATTACGACTGAGCAGTAGGGAGACTACTGCTCAGTCTTAATAGTGTAGTGGGGTAAAAGAGACTGAGTCTCCTCTGGTCAGATTTGACATCCTGCTGGAAGAAACCCAGCCTAGTTTTGATAATTGTTTCTTTTCGGGTGAAAATGGCATCCACTCTTTCCAACTGGCTAGTCAAACTGATCCCCTCCAGCCTATCTTCCCCTGGCACTGTCTCCTGGTTAAAGAAAGCTGAATTTACTCATTTTTTAAAAGTTCATATTCAAGCTTCTTCATTAATCACAGGTGTTATATATTTGCATAAATACTTTTTAAAAATAAAATCACATAGATAACTCTGCTTTCAAAGCAGATACAGAAATATTCAATATTGCATATGACTACAATTATAAAAAAAATACAAAAAAGTCAATTCACAAAACTGTAAGGTAAAATGGCACTTCTGATTGTTTCTAGTTTGTAAAATAAAGAGTAATTTATGAGGTGCTAGTGAGAATGTTAATGTCACTGGGTAAAATCAACATTCACAACAAATAGGACCTAGTTATCGATAACTTTGAGTAATGTGTATGTATGTATACTCTGTGTATACATTCTTAAGGTCATAAAATAACAAGTAAATCCTGGAATAACTACTATTGCTAAAAGAAGGCTGAGGCAGTCATCCCAGAAGAAAAACAAAACAAATAAAATAAATGGCTAGTGCTTGACTCCACTGCATTAATGTGAATCAAATTTTGTACCTCAGAGTTAAGAGCACACACACTGCTATGTGTAAGAGCAATGTGCTTGAGCACTGGAAGTCAAATCACATAGGCCAACAGTATCAGCCTCATCATAACTGCAAATTAAGTATGGTTATTTATAAAAATATAATACATTATATTTTTATAATTATGTATTATAAAAATATAATACATTAACTCTCATGTAGGCTCCTAAGAAAAGACTTACATTCTATATCTCCTCAGGGATAGACTTCTGCTAGAGTTTGAGAATTTTCCTCACTACAAAGATACTGAGGGGCTCCAGGTTAACGTTGGTTATGAAGTGAAAACCCATAGGAATGTGGTTGGTGCTAGCTGAAAGAATATCAAAGCCCCAGCAGTAGGCTAGGAGTTAAAATTAGGAATAAATTTCAAAAGCAAGAGTTAAGGGAAAGAAAAAGAAAAAAACAGGGCAAAAGTCAAAGAAAACATTGTAATTTACCGCTCACAGGATTCCTAATACTGTGTTTTGGAAACTAAAGTAAGTGTAGGGGAAGAGACCTGACTTAGTTGTACAGGCCAAAAGCTTTCCATATAACATAAACTGATGATGAAAGAGTATTTTTAAGATGGATCCAATTCTTTCTTTCTTTCTTTCTTTTTTTTTTATAATGGGAATTGAACACAGAGGCTCTTAACCACTGAGCCATATCCCCAGTCCTTTTTATTTTTTATTTTGAGACAGGGACTCACTAAGTAATTTAGGGCCTTGCTAAGTTGCTAAGGCTGATCTTGAACTTGCAATCCTCCAATCTAAGCCTCCCAAATTGCTGGGATTACAGGCGTGCACTACCACACCCAGCAAGATGAATCCAATTCTTAAGTGGTACAGTTCCACCAAATATTCAAAGAATATCAAAGGAAATTCATTCTTCTCTTTCCATTGTTAGACATTTCATATGGCAGATCTTCTGATGCCCAACAAAAATGATACCCTCAGAAAAATATGTTCCACTAACAATTCTCCTCAAAAAAGTTTACCAAGGTGTAAACTGTAAATATTTCACTTACATATCTGGAGAATCCTTGGAATCACTTACCTGTAATGTCATTCCCTTCTATTCCATGGTCACCATTGGCTAACACTGTTGGTTTAGAAGATGGAGTACCTACAACAATTACAAAGAATAATTACCCACTAACAAACAGAAAAACGGAAAACAGACCCAATTACTATCTATTTTACTAGTGGAATTTTTGTCAGTCTTTAACATTAGCTTAAAGTACATAAAACTGTCCAAAATTTAATGCTTCAGTATAAAGAAACTTAGAAACAGAATAGAATCATTCATTCTTCCCCTATTCAAACTATTAAGTATTAACCCTACAGAAAAGGCCTAAAAAGCAAGCCTACGTCTTTTTGTTCCATAAATGATCAAAAACAAACATTAAATTCAGTAAAACCATCATGACCACAGGGTTATAATCTGCGGTTCAAATCAAATGCTCTGAGGACACAGGACCACTTGAAACAGTTCCGACTCAGAAATCTAGAGTACCATTCATTGCTCCTGAACATAAGGGCTACATAGCAGTCTCTAACATCACTTTTAGAAACAATGCCTTATTTTTCTTCTTTGTAAGTTAACTAAGGATACTGAACATCTTTTCATGTGTTTGTCTGCCACTCTATTATCTTCTTCAGAAAACAGAATGGTCATATTTTTTAGCTGGATTGTTTAAGTTTTTATTAGTGAGTCTTGATAATTCTTTATATATTCTGAATATCAATCCTTTGAGTTTTGTAAAATATTGTTTCCTAGTCTTTAACTTATACTTTGATTTTAATTATACTCTTCAAAGAGCAAAAATCTTAAATTTTGATAAGTCTAATTTATCATATTTTCTTTCATGGATTGTTCTTTTGATAGGTATCTTACAAATTTGCTTAACCCAAGGTCACAGGAATTTTTTTCTCCTAAAAGTTTCATACCTTTCATACTTAAGTTTCACACTAAGGCCTATTGATACCTTCAGAGTTAAAGTTTATATGAAATATAAGATGTGGGTCTAGTTTTGTATTTTTATATATGGGTACTTAATTGTTCAGCATCATTTGTTGAAAAGACAATCTTTATTCTACTGAATTCCAAGGGTAAAAATGCAACATTGTAAAAAAAAACCGATTAAGCATATTATATGTGCTGCTATTTCTGGGCTATTTATTTATTTATTATATGTAGATACAGGGTCTCACTGAGTTGCTTAGTGCCTCGCCCTTGCTGAGGCTGGCTTTGAACTCACAATCCTCCTGCCTCAGTCTGCTGAGCCACTAGCAGACTGCGTCAACATGCCCAGCAGGGCTTTCTATTTTATTCTTTTCCATTGATTTTTTTTTTAAATATGTAACAGCGGAATACATTACAATCCTTTTTTTTTTTTTTTAAGAGACAGGAGAGAGAGAGAGAGAGAGAGAGAGAGAGAGAGAGAGAGAGAGA